GTGTCCTTTCCTAGAAACTCTTCGGCTATGAGATGGCAGAGTTTAAAGTCACCATCAAATTCCTGTGGAATTCTGAGACTGGAGACTTCCAGAAACTCATGGGAGACACAGCAGAGGAGGAGGAGGAAGAGGAGGAGGAGGAGGAGGAGGAGAATGACAGTAATGAGGACTAGCAGCTTGGGCACCACAGTTCTGCTCTAAGGACAAAAAGAGGAGGATGTTTCCCTTCCCAGTTTGACCCTGGATAAGGATGATCAGCTCAAATATGTTCTTTGTAAAAAATGGTCTATGTTTTTATATATATATATATGCCTATATACAACTTCAGCTGTTGTTGCTGTTACTGAGATCTGGGAAAATGCCACCTCAGAGATGGGCACTAGGCAGAAAAGGGTGTGCAACTCAGATGTAGCACAGTGGGGAAGATGCTGAGGGTTTGTTACTCTGACACAGAAGATACTTAGCTCAATCATTAGGATTTTGCCCCATCCCTGGCAGTATCCAAGGCCAGGCTGGATGGGGCTTGGAGCAATCTGGCCTAGTGGAAGGTGTCCCCAGGGCAGGGGGTGGAATGAGATGAACTTTAAGGTCCTTCCTGCGATTCAAATCACCAAGTGCTGCCAAGGAGATGCAGCCAGGCTGTAGGTATAGGTCAGAGCTGGGCTCTGCTTAGAAAAGGTTTTATTCTTATACTTAATTACTGAAGGTTTCACATTTAGGCAGAACTGGAGCCTTCACCATATTCATTTTCCTCATCAACTGCATCTTCACTCACCATCTGTGCTGTGGGGACCTGAAGGGTTGGGAGGGAAGGAACACCAAGGCAAGACAGCGATCGTGGGTCCTGCAAAGCCTCATTAACTCAGGTAAAACCTCAACTCATCTGCACACGGCTCAAGGGCCAGGGTGGGAAGTGCCTCTGCTGTGCTCCCAGAGCCTGGTGCTCCGTTCTCCACCCCAGGACAGCCGCACTGTGCCCCAGTCCTAGCGGAAGTAGTTGGGGCAGTCGTGGGCAGTGAGGTTCCAGGCCTGGTCAAACGCCTCCACCACGGGTGGGAGCAGAGGACCCTCCTCACTGTAGTCAAGGTTCTGCTCTAGCTGCTCCAAGTTGGACATCCCAATGATCACTGCGTCTCCAAGGGAACCCTGGGAAGAGATACAAGGTGCTGCTGATCCCAAAAGAAACCAAGTTCACCTCATTGCAGGCTAGACTAAACATCTGTTCCCAGTAAGCACATCCAGTGGCTTCTGGATGTTCAGACACCGACACCAGGAATTCTGCTCACAAGGACAGGACATCTCCAAGTCATGCCAACTCCTCAAAAGTTGCCAAATCCTGCTTTATGATGGGCTATGGGAATATTGGGGGAGATGGGGAATATAACCATTAGTTTCCCAGTCTGATGAACAGCAAGTCCTGTCCTTCCAGGGAAGCTGAGTGGGTGAGAAGCCAAGACCCAGCAATAAGCACCTTCCACTTCGTCCAATCCTAAGCACACAGGATACTATGGGAGAGCACAGAATTGACTCGCTCCTGCAGCCTGACAGAGTCCATACAGCAATATCCACTTTGGAACACCACAATCCCACGGAATATGCAGAATAAAAGAGAACTCCACTGAAATTCCCATTTGGGTGCCACAACACCTGCCCAGCCCTGCTGGAGCTGCCCAGGCTGTTGGCTGTGGTGACATCAAGCTCTCACCTGCAGTTTGGAGTGGTTGTAGAGCCAGCGCAGCGCAGCAGACGCCAGGGTGGGTGCACTGGAGCCATAGGCATCTTTCAGAGCTTTTTCAACTAGGGAAATTCCATCAAAATTGTGCTTTTTGGTGTATCTGCAAGAAAAAAAATCACTCTTACTGCCCTTGAGACCTCCAGGGGGTGGTACATCCATATCCCAATCAAGAGACTGGTGAGTGGTATATCATATCCCAATCAAAAGGCTTTTGGGAACATCTGTATTCCAAGCAAAAGCTTTCAGGTACATCCATATTCCAATCAAAAGGCTTTCAGGAAGACTCGGACAACTCTTTGCATCCTCTGAGGACTTCTGCAATCTCCTCTGCAAGCTGTGAGTGAGCTCAGCCTGAGCCCTACATGCCACAGCCCTACCCACATACGCTGATGTCATCCCTGCACAAACTTTGGTCAATTTTGTTCCCTCTCAGCTGATTATTAGTGTGTTTTGGGTTTTTTTCATGCAAGCTATTCCTACTCATCTGTCAGCTCAAACCATACCTGTCCCTGTAGGCTTGAGCCCAGTCATTCCCAAAGAATCTCCCAGTGGGCTGTCGTGTGTCCTTGTCCTCGTACTTGTACTTGCCAGTCAGCAGCCCTCCTGGGAAAGAGCACATTCAGGGATGGGCTGGCTCTTAACAGCCCCAATTTCTCAGGGTTTTGGCTCAAAGTGTGGCCCTTGCCCTCCCTGTACCTGCCAGTGGGTTGTAGGCATAGAACCTCAGCCCGAAGTGCCTGAGGCAGGGGAACAGCTCAGCCTCCACCTGCCGCGTGGTCGCGTTGTACATACCCTGCAAAAAGGTGAGGAGACAACTTCAAACACAGCTCAGGACACAGCATCAGCCTCTGCCCACCCTTCCCTGATAATATTTATCATGGAGAGCAGCTGCAGGTCACAGGAGGTTCTGATTTGGTTAGGAACAGACTCGCTGAAGGATTGCGAATGATATACATCAAGGCAGTCACTGACTCCAGTGACTCCTCACTCAGCCTCCTGATCTCAATTTCCTCATGGAAAAGGCTGTCAGGCACTGGAATGTGCTGCCCAGGGAGGTGGTGGAGTCACCATCCCTGGAGGTGTTCAAGAAATGACTGGACATGGCACTCAGTGCTCTGGTCTAGTTGACAAAGTGGTGATGGGTCACAGGTTGGACTTGATGGTCTTGGAGATCTTTTCCAACCTCAATGATTCTGGGATTCTGTGACTTCTCAGACTAACTGCAGCAAGTTCCTTCTCTGTGTTTCTATCAGGCACATTAAGGGCTGGTCCAAAATTTGGGGACTCCTCACCTGGTACACAGTTGGCATCACCCAGTTGTTGTACTTGCAGATAGTGCAGATTTCTGCCACCTCCCAAGCTGCATAGTTTGACAGACCAAGTTCTTTGAATTTTCCCTGCAGAGGAATAAAAGGGAGTTCAGCTCCAGCTTTTAACAGTTCATTTGGCCCCAGACAGTGCAAGATGGGTGTGGGGAAAAGGACAGTCACCCAGCTTTAGTCCAGAGTCCTCATCCCTATCCACCAACCACAAACAACTATGAATCATTAAGACCTGACAAAAGCATTCCCTATTTTCTGCTCATTTGGAATCCACACCTTCCAATTTAAATGGCATAATTAGACTAATGCAATTCAGGAATTCTTCACCCACTGCCAGCACCAATCCTAACCCAGTGAACACGGCTGGAAGCAAAGTTCAGACAGTTCCAAAGCTTCCAAGAGCTGTTGGGAACAAAGTGCACCACGTGAGCACCTACAGAGCAGCAGCTGCTGCCCTGCTCTCTGGCTCTGCACTCACTCCTTTCTGAGTGGGGCACAAACCCAGAGCTGTACACAGGCACAAGAAGCAGCCTGGGCTCAAAACAGTGGTGGGAAGGAGGGAATCAAGGATTATCCAGGCTTGGACTCTGCCCTGTACCTCCTTGTGCAGCTGGTTGCAGGCACGAAGTGTCTCCTCCACTGGGGTGCTGTGGTCAGGGGCATGGAGGTAAAACAGCTCCACACTGCTCCTCTTCAGCCTCTCCAGGGATGTGTCCAGCTGGGAGCGCACGCTCTCCGGCTTCAGCGTCTTCCCGTCCCAAGGGTTGGCCTTGGTGGCCACTTCCACTGCCAAGGAGAGAAGGAATTAGCAATGACATGTCCACCTTCAGGAGGGGAATGAGGATAAGGGGCACAACCAGCTGTTTGAAGGAAGATCCCTCTCCCTGGGAACCATGTCAGCCTGGCTCCTGTCCTTGGGTCTGCTCTGGATAGGGAAGGTCTTCTCCTCAGGGTCTGGGGCTCAGCATGAGCAGGGGCCCCTTGCCCTCCGGCATGGCATCAGCCTGGCAGGGGAAATCCCTCTCCTCAGGGAATGGGCCCAGAGAAGTGCCTTCCCCTCTGGGATGGAGTAAGCCTGGCAGAGCAGATCCTTCTTCTCCTCGGGCAACTGGCCCCGGGGCAATCCTTGTCCTCTGGGACAGTGTCATCCCTGTCTGCTCAGGGAACGGACCCTGGGAAGTCCCTTGTCCTCAGGGACAGGGTCAGCCTGGCAAAGGAGACCCTCCTCCTTAGGAAATGGGCCCCGAGGAAGTCTTATCTCCTCAGGGACTGTGGCAGAGGAGACGGAGACCCTTAGGCTCAGGGAACAAGCCCCAGAGAAGTCTCTTCTCAGGACCAGAATCAGCCTGGCAGGGAAGACCCTTATCCTGAGGGACCTGGCCTGGAAGAAATGCCTTCTCCTCAGGGATGGCACCAGCCTAGGAGAGGAGACCCTTCCCCTCAGGAAACAACCCCCAGGGCAGTCCCTTCTCCCCGAGGACAGCGCCAGCCAGGCAGGGCAGCTCCT